TTCTGGCCAGAAGGGTATAAGGACCATTTGGAGTGGATGATGAAATAACACCAGTCTCTATCATTTCCCTTTTTTTCCTAATTACTGATCATGCCAGCTACTAATTCAAGAAGCAAGACCTGGTTGCAGCTTTATCCAACTAGAATCTCTTATTGAAAGCAGTTTGGTGGCAGCTGCATTAGTGTGTTCTGAAGAGGTGTCTGCTTAACTGAAATTTTGTATTTTATAACTCGTTTATCAAAAGTAAAACAGAAGAGTTAGCGAATGCAATGTAATGTGGCATTCCTTTAAAATTAACAAGAATCATTAAGCTCAGTGCCCTGCAATATCAAAATTGGTCTATCTTTTGTAAAGCTGCAGAGTAGCTAGTACAAATAAAATAACTGAGCATACATTTAAAAATATTGCTATATCATGCAAGAATGTTAATCTACTATATTATCATGTACTGAGGAAACAGATACATTCTGCTGCAGGCTAAACAATTTAACAGCCTTTATTGGATTTCCTATATCATGTAGCAGTTTAATATTTTACATATTCTGATTAAAAGTTAAATTTTAAAAAATATTGTATAATGTCACTGTTATCACAATACAGTGGTTTCTACTGTTTGTAGCAAACAAAACATTTTCTGAATGGTTTTAACACCCTCTGCTAGCAATGTGCATCTTAATCTCTCATTTTTAATTGAAATTCTTCTGTAAGTTGGCATATAAAAGGTCCAGGAGCTGAACATGTTAGATATTTTGCTGACCTGCCCTGCACAAGGTTTTACTCAAGAAACATTTGAACAACAACATAAAACAGTTAACTGCTCTTATTATTCTGTGCTTCATGCATCAAGACTCCCCATCAGCAAGTGTGCATAGAAAACAAAAACTACTGTTCACTTTTACCACTTCCCATACAAAATTGTGCATAACTGCTTGAGTACCTCTGTGTTTTGCATTCTTTCTTTTCCTTAATACAATGTCATTATCTGTTATAAACAGAGGGAAAGCAATGCTACAAACCAGACTCTTCAGCTAATAGGTAGTGCTATATCAGTGTTATGTTAATTAGTAAATTATATTGTTGTTCCAGTTTTGACATGTTCAGTGAGTTTAGTGCTTGAGAGGGGTGCCAGCTTCAGATTAATTAGAACTGAAATCTCAGGTTCAGAGTAAGTCTTATCAGAAGCAGTGGAAGTATAAGATACACCCACATTTCATTGCCAGTTTTCCTTAGCCCACATCTGGGGAGACTGCCTCTAGAGATTATAGTTCTGTTTTCATCCTCACAGCATACTTAGACTTTATTAAGGTGGAGCTAGGGTGTCATTTGAAGGTGCCTGTTTAAAAGGTTCCCTTCTCCTTACTAGAGAGTCAGACAAAGCAATACCTCTACTCTTTCATGTGTCACTGGTCCGTAGTGGTACCATGAAAGATTCTGGTTACAGCTAATGTGGTGAATATATGAACTATTGAACAATCACACAGTGCTCTGCTGGAAAGGTTCCCACAAGTTTGGTAGGTTCACCTTGAGTGTCACAGGTCCTGGGGATGCTGCACCTTGCTAGAGCCCTGCCATCCCAGTGCAGTAGTCCAACCTGACATGCTGCATTTGTTTTCTCTGAAAGCAAAATTTTGTTCACTCTATCAGTTCAGCTACTTATTTTGAATAGGGCAGCAATAATCAAGTGTGCAGCTAGGAACGTAGGGCTGGAAGGGGCCTACTGGACCATCAAGAAAAATAAAATGAAACTATTAAGCTTGAAGCTATTGAAAAAAGATTTGGTGCCATCCACAGGAAACCTCTCCATTTTGTATGTTGGGACAGTAACACTCTTAAAAAGGATGGCAGCGTTAACTAGCCAGAATTACCAAATTTCTTTATGTATAGTGGGCAAGCCTTTCATCTTCATCAATTTCTGCTGCTTTGTACAGTGTTTGCTGTATGTTTTGCTTTTCTCGTAATGTAGAAATATATTTGCATATTGCTGGAAATACTACAATTCAGAAGTTGTTAAATGTAGCCATGCCTGGTAATTCCACAAGATAAATTAACCATTAGCATTTAGTACAAACTTTATTTGCCAGTAACTTTCTCTGTGAAGCTCACTTCACATAATTGTATTTTGCTAAAATTGTGTTGATAGTAAAATGAGTCTTTTACTTTTGAATTCGTGAAACTATTTAAATTTTTTTAATTTGAAAGCTATATTTTAGGAATAAACCTTCGTCTGACTAAATGATGGTTGCATGAGAATAATTTCCCATTTCTTTCTGTTTTCAATTGAACTGTTCAGTGGTCGGTGAAGATGGTAAGCCTGTGTGCTGATCTGTCTGCTGTACTTCTGCTAAAATAGCATGAAAGTAACCTCTTTAAATTGTTTCCATATCATAATTGCTTTGAGTCAGGTGCTGAAAACATTTGCAGATTTTTCACCTTGTATACATGATTTTTTTTGGGATCATCCATGCTCTATGTGAACTAATTAGATATGTGATCTAGCTGTAATTAATTGATTTTGGAGTTAAGGTTAAAAAATTGTATGAGTTGGTAATAATGAAAATATATTTAATGATTTATCATGGATTGATAGCAAAGCTCTTAACTATGTAAATTACTTATGTGAAAGGAATATGTAAGTTTTATAAAGAAGAAGCACGAATAGAAAGGAAAATTGGTCTTACAGAATTTTTATAGCAGTTGCAAGGGAAATACTGTATTGCAGATACACTGCACAGCTGTTGCAGTGACTGAAAAATCCAGAGCATGCCTATTACTTTGTATTTAGTAAGAGGGCTCTGTTGTTCTGATTTTACTAGAGGGTACCACCGAAGTTAACTTGTAAGGAGAGGCAGTGGTAACTTCAATGTATTCATCCTTTTGTCACTAATGTATTCATTCTTTTTTCACTTCTTATTATATTAAAAAATGCAGAAAAAATCCTTTCAGGCTAAGAAATGTGCTAATGGTTTTATGCTAGAGACAGTGGTTTTTGATTTCCCTGCCTTTCTTGGATGGCTTGAAAACTTTTTTGTGATATCACAAACATCAAGGAGCTGCAAATAAGCAGTTAGAGGAAAAGTAATTTTTTTAGACAAACAGTTTAAAACATGGGGTTGGTTTTTGTGAGTCAGTGCTCATTTAACTCAGAATCCTCACATGGTTAGAAGACATGCTGTCCTTATTAAATTTTCCTCCTTGCAGGTCACCCTTTCATGGCTGTTCCTTTTTCTGTACTTAAAACAATCTTCTAAATAACTAGGGTCTGCAGTGTAACATTTTTAGTAATTAGTATTATGAACTCTAAAACATGAACCTGATTTTTTTCCCCAAAAGCATGCATTCCTACTCCTTCTGTATGGAGACATGCATCTGTCACTAAGGTGTGAGCTTTTGGCAGAAACCCCTTTACAAGGTGTATTCATGTGCACCCCACATAACTAATTGATAGGCATACTCATCCTGTATTATGCTGTGGTAAGGTCACTGTCCCCTCTGCAGAATTGGGTCTGTGGTGGATATTTTTTGTAACTTACATAGTAACTTAAAGCTAAAATGATTTGAGTGCTTGAAGTTAGTTTTATGCAAAATTTCACTACTAATGAGCGAGCAACAAGTTGCTCTTCTTCCAGAACTTCCTACTGTTAATTAAAATGGAAAAATGACTAGAAATGCTTCAGTAGGTTTCATTTAGTGCAATCTGATTAAGTAGTTTTGATGTTACCAGTGCCATCTCTATATTGTATAAACTTCATTTCATTCCTGGTAAAATTTTAGCTTACATTTACAATAAATAAAGCAGGATTTAATGAAGGACTTAGACATACATGTTTTAAAAATCATTGTTCACGTATAGGAGTTGGTGACATTTCTTCTTCAGGATGGACTATGGCGTTATGGACCAATTTATTAAAGGGAAATAGTATATGATTTGAGATGAGTATCAAACTCATGTTGTTTTTCTTTTGATAGTAGAAACAGACAGACCAGGGAGATAGCAAACCATATACTCAGTGTTTTTCTGGTTTTTATTTGTAGCTGGAATTATTGTTTGATACAGTAGTTAGTGTTTCCTGTTCTTAGCTTATGAACTCTGCTCTTCTTGTAATGGCTGGAAGAATTGTGGTTTGGCTTCTCTCTTTAAATATTTATAGATTATATAAATTATTAATGAACCCAGCCCAGCTGTCATTAAAGGCAGAGGCAGCATTCCTCTTGACCTGAGTCTGACAGTACTGGGTTGTAGGTGTGGGTGTATGTACAAAAGCATTTGCCACAGTTAAATATCATTTTAACAGGAGCATACAGTAAGTTGATCCTGGGAATACTGGTGATGGGGTGTAATTCACCGAAATGAAGGCAATTTAGGTAGCTTAATAACTGCATATAAAACCATTTTTGTTTGTTGATATTGCTGAGGGTCAGTAAATGATTACTTCTATTGTAAAACTTCCTTTGAATTGACATTTTGTTTGTAAGTTTTGTTGCTTTTCAAGTTTACCACATTGGTCACTGGCAAACTAAGTTTGCATGGTATCAACTATAAAACAGAGAAATACAGTCTCTGCTTCCTCACAGCTCACAAGTCAGTTTTCTGTTGGTGTGTATGCTAGGTCAGCTAACAGTCCATCTGTGTGTGACTCCTGGCACATATAGATTTTTCTCACGTTATTTTGACAGTGGCCAAAACTGTCTTTGGTGCTTCAGCATATGAATTTGATTAGAGGATGTCCTTTTCCTAGATGTGTCCACTTTAAATTCAGACATGAAGTGACAGACAAAACAATATGGCAGGGACAAAGGAGGGAAGTGCTTAGTGTTTTGGAAGTAAAAATGCACATTTACTAGTTTAGGTGTTTGTCAACAGATCTGTGTGTATAGCATAGTCGCTAAGGAGGTCCATCCTGCCTCACTTCAGTGAACACTGTTTGTGTGTGGATTGTTAGTAGCAATAACTATAGGAAATTTAGACTTTGCGTGTTTGATAACAGTGTTTATCCTTGCAGGGCCCTGCACTGGAAGATTTCAGCCACCTGCCCCCAGAACAAAGACGTAAGAAGCTGCAGCAGAGAATTGATGAACTTAACAGAGAACTCCAGAAAGAAACAGACCAGAAGTAAGTGTGATGCTTAAAGATCATTTTTTCACCTATTTCTTTCTAGTTTTCTCTTTTGAGCCAAAAGGGTTGTTTTAAAGTTAAAGTGCTCTAAGTGGTCTGTCCACCCTTTGAATCTGTTAGTGTCTATGCTTTATGGTCATGTGGTTTGTTGTTACAAGTCTTCTCTGTTTTTAATAGCAATTTTTGTATTACCCATTGTGAATACTGTATATGGAGTTACAGGTGATCAGCACCTTTGAAAAACAGGTCTGTTGCCTGCTTTTGGTGCATCCCCTTAGAAAGCCTGGGTAATTAGAAACCCTTTAGAAATTAGCTTTTTTAGGAAAAGCTGAGAGAGGTGGGTTTAGAATATAGTGAAGAGGAGGTAGGGAGGAACCAACATTTTCACTGTCTGTGTGTCTGTGCACAGAGTACACAAAGACACTGGGAAGGGAAGCAGAATGCTGGTGTCTGCCCTTGGAGAAGAGCTAAGAGGAGTGAAAGATGTGGAGACAGGAATGCTGTCCTCATCCTTCCTACTATGAGGGCGATAGTTCCTTGGAGCAGCGAGGAGCTTATATTTATAGTTATCCTTTCCAATGCTTTGCTTAATTATTAGTACTGTTACTTATTACTTGTAATACTGTAGTACCCAGGAGCCCTAGTTGTGGGCCAGGCCCAGGTGAATAACGTATTGCTTGAACAATCATCCCTTTAGGTTTATGGAACAGAGAGAGATGTGGTCATATTGACAGTGTGTCCATGTATCTTATTACAGAGATGCACTTATCAAAATGAAAGATGTTTATGAAAAAACCCCACAGATGGGAGATCCAGGCAGTTTGCAGCCAAAATTAGCTGAGACCATGAGCAACATGGACCGTCTTCGAATGGAAATACACAAGAATGAGGTTAAACACCTATTAAGCTCTTTCTTGGAAGATGCATTGAAACATTGTTTTCCCCAGTGATTACGAACAGTGGTCAGAAATTTACTTGGTTTGAAGAAGTTGGCCTGACTCAGTTTTCCATAGAGTGCTCTTCCTTTTCTCCTTTACATACATATCCATAGCTCGATGGAGAAAATATATACTTGCTTGTCAAAAACGTTAAGTAAAACCTTACAGTAAATCTACATCTCTCACTTTTTCTGTGATTTGTGTTACGTATTTCAAAGTGAGGGCTTCTGGCATTTTCTCAAAACCAATTACTGAGCATTGGCCAAACTGAGGTGATAGCCTTGATCTTCAAGCAAAACAGCAGGA